CGACAAACGCACCAATCAGAGATTTGCCGATAACATACCTACAAAAAAAATAAAAAAACACAAACAAAAAGTAAAAATTAACGATTAACATTTCAGATCCACAAAATAAAACAGCATAAAGCTGCAGTGAATATTTAAAACAAAAACTCAACTTACTTATCCTTGTCATCGTCCTTCTGGTAGAAATCATCGACAATTAAATAAGTGAACCAGCTGGTTATTCCCAAAGCAAATAGACCTACATTGGGTAGAAGAAAGAAGAATATATGTTCACAAAGCTTATTTAAATAACTGTTTTAGATGTGAATGTATTTCATTCATTCATTTTTCTTGAGCTTAGTCCCTTATTTATCAGGGGTCGCCAAAGCGGAATGAAGCGCCAACTATTCTAGCAAATGTTTTATGCAGAGGATGCCTTTCCAAATGCAACTTAGTACTGGGAAACACCCATATGCTCTCACATTTTACACACACACACTTATATGTAAATGTATTTTTAAAAAGTAATTTATTAATTTGATGAACAGCTCAACTGTTTTGTATAATTACTCTATTTAAAGCCACATGATCCTTCAGAAATTCTAATGTGTGGATTTTCTGCTCAAGAAACATTTTGTTTTTATTATCAATGTTGAAAATCATTGCATTTTTATGAATGTTATTTTAAACCATTTTAGTTAATTTCAGGGTTTTTAATGAATAAAAGGACATTTTCAAAAGAAAATTAAAAAATGTTTTGAAACATTAAATGCTTTTTTTATTTTAGAGTAAATAATAATTTTAAAAAATTATAAATAAAAAGCAGTTGACTAAACCTTAACAGATTTGTAAAATGTAAAGCATTTTTATTCAGCAAGGATACATTTAATTGATTAAAAATGATTGTAAATTAAAAAATAAATGTCATTTTTTTAAAACCTACTTTCTATTCATAAAATTGAATCAGTTTAAATTATGTTTTCAAATATTTTAGTTAATCCTTTAGGTACCAATTTAGAAATAAAACATGCTAGTTTATAAATGTGTTTTCAATCAATAATTTTTGTTAAGTTTATTAATTATTTATAAAATAAATATATCTGCATTTCTCGGTTTAAAATGTATAGCATTTAATAGCATTTTAAAAGCAATTAAAAGCAATAATAGCATTGTTCAACAAGTAAGATACAGTAATCGATCAAAAGAGCCAGTATATTGATTTATTTGAAATAAATTCTGTTGTGTCATAATAAACAGCTCTATGTAAATTCTGTTTCTCTAGATTTTTGATTAGTAGTTATGATATAGTTAGAATTTTGTTAGATTCCATCTATCTATCATAACACATCTCCGAATATACAGAGCAAAGATGCGACAAATGCACCATTCAGAGATTTGCAGATATAAGCTGAAGTCAGAATTATTAGCCCCCTTTTGATTTATTTGTTTTTTGTAAATATTACCCAAATGATGTTTAACAGGGCAAGGAAATGTTCACAGTATGTCTGATAATAATCTGGAGAAAGTCTTATTTGTTTAATTTCGGCTAGAATAAAAGCAGTTTTGAATTTTTTTAAAACCATTTTAGGGACAAAATTATTAGCCGCTTTAAGCTACATATTTTTTCGATAGTCTACAGAACAAACCATCGTTGGGTAGAATGAATTATTAAAACTATTATGATTAGAAATGTGTTGAAAAAAAAAGTCTCTTAGTTAATCAGAAATTGGGGGAAGAAAATAAACAGGGGCGCTGATAATTCAGGGGGGCTAATAATTCTGACCTTAACAGTAACATTTAAAGTGGATTCAAAAAATATTCTAAATTTTCCTAAGACAAAAATAAGTGCTGTTTAGTAGTTTTAGAACAACTTTCATAACTCTTTTGATCCACTTCAAACACTGAGTACTGTATATATTAACAATTAGACAACACATTACACATGTTTTAATTATGAAAACAACTTTTACTGGAACAACCCTAAATAATTGTCATTTTCAAAAAACAAAAAAATAATATTTTTTAAATAATTTCTAAAATATGTTCTACATTTTCAAATATTAAAGAAAATGCTCTAAATTGCAATATTTTTATTTACAATTTGGAAAAAAAAAAATTTAGCAGACCTAAAAAAAATCTAATTTTACACAAGCCTACACAGAAAAATCCTCTGAGTAAAATTTACTCAGCTTAAATACAGTAGAATTTAATGCCTCTCTAAATTGAGTTGAAGTTACTGAAGTTAATGAGACAATGAAAGGATTAAGTGATGACTGAACACCTGCTGTTATGCTGTTAATAAGCAGAAACACAGAAGAGAAACACAAAACTACATCTCACTTCAGTCACAGCCTTAGATGAAATCAGCAGAAATATAAAACATTGAATCTCTCAAAATCTCAGCAGGGGAACATTAAGCAACTCCACAAGCAGCAGCTTCGCTTTTTACTAACCCATTTGCCCTTATTTAAAGATGAACCAAATACTCTCTGAACTGAGTACATTTTACACAGAGGACTTTGCTGTGTAATAAATGCAGTAAATCCAAAGGAACCTGGAATTTTCAAGTGCTCTCCACATAGTATTTTAATTCAAAGGAATCTTTTATCGGTATAAAAACATTGGAAATATTTTAACAAAATCACTTTAAATGATCAGTAATATTTAAAATTCATAAACTCACCACCACACACAGAGAGGATTCCTCCAAAGAAGGCAGTTCTGTCCTTCATCGTCTCATTGTCGTCTAAAAATTTTGTGCATCTGAGTCCAGAAACAGCTACCAGAACAGCAAAGCTTGACAACACGATGCTGATGATCATGAATACTCGACTCATCCGAATTTCAACTACAACAAGCACACAGCACACATATAAGAAGACATGCATATAAGAAACCGAATGTCTGTTTCATCCATACAGTAAATGACTGATACTTACAAGTTTGATGAAGGAGAGAATTAAAATTGGTGCATCGAACATGTGACGAACTGTCGACTGAACACTGCATCCACAGTCCTTCATATTTCACCAGAATCACAGACTTGTCATTGTCGTGTCCGCTGATTTTCCATTCGTTCGTAAATGTGCCTATAAGCAGGCCACATAATCCAGCGATGGTCAAGATATAACCAAAGAGTTGAAAAGCCATGTTTGAGTAAAATAATCAAACAACGAGAAGTAAATGTTTCGGTCAGTAGTGTTTGTCCACTGAGGCTCACCAATGCAAACTGAGCATTGCAGGCTGCTATTTATCATCTGAAGTAGGTGTGAATCATTCATGGACTGGACATTGGGTCATATTTCAATAGAATTAGTAACTCTGATCTGGAAATATCTAGTTTGAGCTTAACAACAAAGTGTTGGGGGTTAGAAACAGTAGGTTATTGGTTTGATTCCTATTATTATTTAGGGTAAAGTAGATGTGTAAATCATTCATGGGCTGGATGGATCCATGAATTATTTATTCTGAATATAGAATGGTAGGGTTGAATCATTTATTGTCAGGACATCGGGTCACCTTTGGAATTTTTTTGAGTTTCAGGTGTGATGGTTGAAACCTTTAGTTGAAAATCAAACAGTAGGTTGTTGGTTCATTTCCCAAAATGAAGCAGCTTTGGAAAAAGCATTGTGAAGTACAGTTGTTATGAATAATTTATAGACTAGACGTTGGGTCAGATTTCAATAGAATTAGTAGCTCTGATCTGAAAATATATAGTTTGAGTTTGTTTTTGAGATTTTTGTATGGGGCTTGAAACTTTTGATAGAAAAACAGTAAGTTGCTGGTTCAATTCCCCATAAACAGAGAAGTTTAATAAAGCATTGTTGGTTTGAATCATTCATTGTCAGGACATGTGGTCAGATTTGGGAAAACAAATCAAAGTGGAACTTATTTATGAATTTCAGGTATGGTTGTTGAAATCTTTAATTGGAAAACAAACAATAGGTTGCTGATTCATTACCCAAAATTCCAAAATTTTGGAAAAAGCACTGTGAACTACAGCAGGTGTGAATCCTTTATGGACTAGACATTGGGTCAGATTTTAAAGGAATTAGTCTGATCTAAAAAAATTTAGTTTGAGCATATTTTTGAAATTTATGCAAGCGGGTTGAAACTTTTGATTGAAAAACAGTAGGTTGCTGGTTTAGTTCCCCATAATCCGTGCAGGCTATTAAAACATTGTCATTTTGAACCAATCACTGTCAAGACATCGAGTCAGATTTGGAAAAAATCAAAGTTGAACTTTTTTTTTTTTTTTCAGGCATTGTGGTTAAAACCTTTAATTGGAAAACAAACAGGTTGTTGGTTCATTTCCCAAATCAAAACAATTTTGGATAAAGCATTCCAAAGTACCATAGGTGTGAATAACTTATGGACTAGTCATTGGGTCAGTTTTTTTAATAGAGTTTGTAGCTCTGATTTGAAAATATCTAGTTTGAGATTTTTTTTTTTTTTTTTTTTAGATTTTTTGTATGGGGGTTGAAACTATTGATTGAAAACCAGTAGGTTGCTGGTTCAATTCCCCATAAACAGTGTAGGTTAATAAAGCATTGTAGGTTGAATCATTCATTTTCAGGACATTAAGTCAGATTTGTCAAAGTTAGATTTAGGCAGGAAATGTGAACTTGAGCTTATTTTGAGTTTGAGGTGTAGTGGTTAAAACCTTTAAATGGATAAGAGTAGGTTGTTGGTTTATTTCCAAAAATGGAATTAGGATAAAGCATTGTGAAGTACAATAGGTGTGAATCATTTATGGACTAGACATTGGGTCAGTTTTAATGGAATTAGTAGCTCTGATCTGAAAATACCTAGCTTAAGCTTATTTTTTGAGATTTATGTATGGAGCTTGAAACTTTTGATTGAAAAACAGTAGTTTGTAGGTTAATGAATCATTCATAGTCAGGACAGTATAGGTCAGATTAGCAGAAACTTAGCAGATCTGGGCAGGAAAATCTAACTTGAGCTAATTTTGAGCTTCATGTATAATAGTTGAAACCTTTAGTTGGAAAACAGTAGGTTGTTACTTCAATTCCCCAAAACAAGTGTGCAGTACTGCACTGCCGAAGTAAAGCAGGTGTAAATCATTTATGGACTAGGCATGGGGTCAGATTTCAATAGAATTTGCAGATATGGCCTCAAAAAAAATTTAACTTGAACTTATTTTTGAGTTTTATAGAGTTTTATTTTTAATCAGATACAGTATGGTTGTTGGTTTAATTCCCAATATTAAGCCATTTGGGATAAAGTAGGTGTAAATACTTAATTGACTGCACAGGGCCAGATTTCAATGGAATTAGCATCTCTGATCTGAAAAAAAAACTGTATTTTGAAGCTTTTGATTTGAAAATAGTAGGTTTTTGGATCAATTCTCAAAATTAAGCCATTTTGAATAAAGTATCATGAAGTTTTAATATTATGTTGAAAGGACATAAAATTAGTAAATTCGGACCAAAAAAATCTAACTTAAATAAGTTTTATATGTGTGGGGATTGAAGTTTTTAATTGGAAAATGTTGTTGGTTCAATTCCCTTTAATAAGACATTTTGAATAAATCTAAACAAATGTATTTTAAGTAACCAATTGACCATTTATTTTGATGAATGAACATGTTTATAGGGAGGATGATGAAAAATGTTTCAAAACACACAAATCAGCACATTACGCCTGATGATGAATGCATCATGACTATGATAAGTTGTTAAACTAACACCCATTTACTTACAAATACAAAAAGATGTATTTATAGTCTCATAATCTTGTGATGCTTCCTCCTTTTTTAAGGGTTGTGACTCTGACAGGAAACAAATGGGTGTGATGATGGACACATGCCGGGAAGGTTAGCTTTTGGTCATCCATTATAGTAACATTGAGCAACAATATTTCATGATTTTTAAACATTTATTTCAAAGATCATAATGTTGAAGTTTTTTATTTATAATAATTAATAAATATTAAGAGTTTTTCCTTTTTTGTTGAATGAAAGTTTAAATTGTCTGGGGAGAATATTTTGCATAACTTTTATAATTTTTTTATGTAAAGATACAAAGTTAAAACTTTAGCAATGAAGTATACACATTACTATTAACTATATTTGTATTGCAAATTTTCTAAATAAAAATGTATATATATATTTTTTTTCGTGTAAATGTATCTTAATATAATACTTTTTTCAACACATATTGAAGTAAGTATTATGTTCAAAGAAATGGAAAGAAATAAAATGTGCCAACAACACCAATGTTTGTTGTATGTTTTGGCTCTCACACAAAAATGTTTTCCAGTTTTCGAGCTGATGAGTGTACAAACACTTTCTGCTTTGTTTCATTGCATGAGTCATGTTTTGCTGTACTAGATTATGATTCTGATGAAAAGAAAAGCCCTTATTTTCTCAATATGCTACATGATTTGAAATTCCATTAATGTTTTAGGGCACAAACACCCTAGTTAATATGTTTTTTTTTTTTTTTAAATAAAGAAGTTATATATTTAATGGTGCATATTGGCAGAGTCTAACGCTATCCTATGGTTCCTCAATATACCTTATGATTAAAAAGCAAAATGTCAGTACTGAATACTAAAAAAAATCATTAAAGAATCAACAAATAAATTTCTTCATTTAATGCTTTATTAGAGTTTAAGTGCTTTAGAGTGGCTGAATTCAATGAAAGTTAATCCCATTATATAATAACTATATGCCCATTTGTACTTTATATTTTACCCATATCATGTTAAGTGTAAGCGTTGATTTTAATGTTTCAAATAATTTTTGTGAAAGCAATTTTTTTTAAAATATATGGATGAAATTCATCATTCACCATAACAAAAATTAAACAACATACTTGGTTTGACCTGTACTGAAGATATACAATAATAAGCGATCCCAATCAATTTGATTAGACAATAATGAGCAAACATTTGAAGGAAATGGCTAAATATTTAAAATCAGATTAAGATTTAAAATAACAATAAATTAGTATTTTGGTGCTCCACTGTGAACATTTTCATCAAATGATTTTTGTTCTAAGTTTGACCAATGCCTTATTTGTTTGGTATTATATACTGTAACACTGAATTATATTTTAGTTTAAGTATTCTGTGTCAACCCTAAAAAATTTAGGGTTGCACCGATATGAATTTATGAATTTGCCAATAGCTAATACGCAAGCTGGTAAAAATCAGTATTTCTACTTATTTCTGAATGATTGCAAAAACAAAAGGCAAACACAAAAGATTTTATTTTAAAACATTAACTTCAGAAAAGTTTGAACTGATCTCTGAATTTAATAAATAATCTACTATTAATAACTAAACATTAATACAATTTTCACAAGATGGTTATAATGTGCTTAACTGTCATAATTAGCATCTTAATATCCTAAAAGTTTTAAATATTTTAATTAAAAACAAAACAAATGTTTGTACATTTATAAAGCTATATGTCATAATTGCATCCAATTATAAAAAACAAAAAAGCCCCGAATGAATTACCGCTTATGCAAGGTGTTTCTAATGCACTGTCAGTATGAGCAGGACAGTAAATTAGACGTGTTCTCTCTTCCAGTCACACTTTTTTCAAAGTCATGAAAACACTATAGTGAAGTTTTTCTTTTATTATTTGAGCAAACAGAGATACAAAAAATAAATCAATAAAAAATTTGGTTCCCCCATGTACACAATTTATCGGCTTTATCAGCCTAATTTTGTTACCGGATCAATAACGATAACATTAAAAATAGCATTTGTATGGCCAGCAATTTATTGTCCACCTCGAAAAAATGAATATGATTTTTTTTCTCATTCTAATGTAAACACAAACGAAAAACACAAACACACACACACACACACACACTGAAAGAGAATGCAGTGCATCTGAAAGGTATTCATAGTGTTTCACTTTTTCCACATTTCTTTATGTTACAATCTTATTGCAAAATGGATTTAATTCATTTATTTCCTCAACATTCTACATACAAGACCCAATAATGACCATGTGAAAAAAAGATTTTTTTAAATTGTTGCAAATTCATTAAAAATTAAAAAAAAAACTGAAAAATCACATGTACATGAGTATTCACAGCCTTTGCTGTGAAGCTCTAAATTGAGCTCAGGTACACTCTGTTTGCACTGATCATGTTTGAGATGTTTCAGCAGCTTAACGAGTTCACCTGAGGTAAATTCAGTTGATTGGACATGATTTGAAAAGGCATACACCTGTCTATAAGGGCCCAGGGTTGACAGTGCATGTCAATGCACAAATCAAGCATGAAGACAAAGGAATTGTCTGTATAACTCTGAGACAGGATTGTCTCGAGGCACAAGGACAATGACTCAAAGCACCACCAAAATTTCAATGGAGTGGCTTCACAACAACTTGGCGAATGTCCTTGAGTGGCCCAGCCAGAGCCCAAACCTAAATTCTATCGAAATCTGGAGAGATCTGAAAATGGCTGTACACCGTCAATTCCCATCCAACCTGATAGAGCTTGAGAGGTACTGCAAAGAGGACTGGGCAAAAAGTCCCAATGACAAGCTTGTGGCATCAAATTCAAAAAGACTTGAGGCTGTAAATGCTGCCAAAGGTGCATCAACAAAGTATTGGGCAAATGCTGTGAATAATTCTGTACATGTGATTTTTCAGGTTTTTTATGTTTAATACATTTGCAACAGAAACTCTTTTTTCACAATGTCATTATGGGATATTGTGTGTAGAATTGAGGAAATAAATCAATTTAATCCATTTTGGAATAAGGCTGTAACATAAACAAATGTGGAAAAAGTGAAGCGCTATGAACACTATTCAGATGCACTGTACATTTAAATCCAACATTTTACTTATACCTTAAACACTATATTATAACATACTAAGTTTTCTGACTTTTCAATATTAAAGTACTCAACAGTACTGTAATCAAAGACCAACTTATCAATCGTAATATTTTTTTTACTAATTTTTAATAGCTACTACTAATATTATAAAACATAACCAGCATAATCCTCAAACATCAATTAGATGTTCAAGTCAAACTCTGGGTATTTGCGCCCCAGGACAGCCGCTCTCAAACCTGTCAGATGTCATTCCTGCAGAGAAAGCCTCAGGCCCAACGACACATTACTATGGGAATGTACTGTATGTGGCTTTCACTCTTTTTAAACCATACACACAGACTTACCCCATTCATGTGTGGAGCGATTATGAGGGAGAAGTTCTAACATACTTGCACTTAATTACACAAATCAGACTGAAACGACCTACAAATGTCAGAAATTACAAACTTTTAGCTGCAACTGGGAATGCAGTTGCACCATAGTTTTTGCAAAGCAAGTTTGACACACCAAATTGCTCATTTGTAGAGATAAATGCATATTAGGCATTTGAATGCATTTAAAAGTTAAAACACGCACACAGACACACACACACACACACGTTTTTACTTTAAGTATGACTCATGTTAACCACATATGACTTTTATGGAAAGCTTGCCTGCAATGTGCTCACATATATTCACTGCACATTATGGTCAAAACAAAAAACAAGAAAACTACAACATATACATTATTTAATTAGACTCCACAGATCAGACTCTACAGATATATATTCTGCATATTAACCTTTTAATTATAACTTACTATAAAATATGCACCAATGGTCAATCAGGCAGTTGCAATACATGTTAAACTATAAATAAATAAATAAATAAATAAATAAATAAATAAATAATACACACTGCAGTTTTAAGTGTTTTTAAGTGGCCCTTTAACATAGCAATACTTAAAATAAAACCTAGGTTGGCAACTCCAGAGCATGAACAACACTCATTTTACATTTTTCTAATAAATTGCTCAAAAAAAAAAAAAAAAAAAAAAAAAACTGGCTCACTTAGATTTATCTTCATATTAGTCATCAAGCAATATTGGATAATACTGGCTCTTGAGCATGACTTGAATAGGACATAAAACATTTTTTTTTTGAGAAATTAACTCTCAAATGACAAACAAACACATCAAATATACTACTTCTGATATACTATACTCGCTGCACAGAATGAGAGCCACAGATTTGACTTTTTAAGAAAGTTCAACAACAAATTGCTTATAACTAGGCCCACATGGAATCTGCGTGCTCAGAAATCCGCAGATTTTTAGCCCATCATTGAATTTATTTATTTTGTTATGTGTAAATATGTGTAAATTTAATTTTATTCAGTTTTTAAATTAGTCAGTAATATTATTGACTAACAGGAAAATGTTGAAATGATTTATTTACAAAACACTTTATAAACGAATATTTTCTGTCTTTTTGGAGATCTATTTATGAGAGACTTGCTTTGTTTAACAATGTATAAGTGGATCTAATTAGATTTGCACTGTAAATATTAAATACGAATTGGAGAAAATATCTAATTGCAATTTTTTTGACAGATATTTCAGTTTCGATTTAATTTGCGATTTAATTTTGTAGTCAGGCTTCAGCACTACTTTTTCTACAAGAGCAATATAGCAGTTATAGCGTTAGTTATCACATGATGCCTGTGATGCTTTTAAGGTGCTGGTTTTTGTATTTCCTCATAATGTTGCAACAATTCTGCGACAGCTCTTACAAATTACCTGTTTTTATTAGGTGTCTGTAACTTTAAAACAAAAATATTCCCATATTACTAATGCTGTTTTTTCTTTGATATGAATTTGTCTGTTAATGCTTCTGAAGCAGCAGACGCCATCAGTCTAGTTGTCTGCGACTTCCTGTCTGTTTTAATTGTGGGCATTCCGTATAGTTCGGCTGCACAATTCTGATTGATCAAAACAAAAGTGAGTCCACTTAATTGGCTAGTAAGACTGTCACACACAAACGGCAGTCACACATTTGCTCTGGGTGGCAGAAATTATATAATACATATAAATTTCATATTGCAGCCTCTTGTGATTAGCTAATTGCAATGTTTCAAATCACGATTGCTATTCGATTAATCGCTCAGACCAAATTTTTATTTAATGTACTATGTTTAGTTAGGATCCTCCCAAAATCAATTATTCCGCATAAATCCAAAGATTTATTTTATTTTATTTTTTTACAAAATTCTGTGCAAAAACAGCTGAAAAAAATCAGCAGATTCTGTCTGGCCCTATTATAACATATATACCTGTAGCTACACTGTAAAAGATGCTGGGTTCCACATAATCAATTTGTGTTCGGGCAACATGAAAAAATGAAGTTAACTTATTAGTTTTTACAAATTTAAGTGGATTGAACATGAAACAATCAAGCTGTCCCCCCCCCAAAAAAAACTTAGGAATTGTGTTGTATTAGCTGTTGTGTAGTTTCAGTTACATTCTGTCCAAGTGGAATTTTTTTTATTATCTGTCATCCTTATAATTTTTAACCTTTTTGTTTGTGTGATTTAACGTAACGTTGTGAATTTAACGTAACACTGTATTTACAATGCGAAAGCCCTAAAACCACATAACAGCTAATGTTAACGCGGGTATCCCACAAATGGCGGCTATGTTCCATAATACAACCCAGCGTTCACATGGGTGACGTCACCTGACAGAGATCGATTTAAACAAGTAGTTTGAACAACTTAATGTGCAAAAGCTGTTCTATGTGCACAAGTTCTCTCCATATAAAGCAATCTCTCTATGTGCAAGATTGGACAGATAAAAATATTTATTTCTTATCTAATATTTTGAACCAATTAGCAAGTAGCTCTGCAGTGAGGACCACTTGGGCTGATTTACTTTCTTACAAAAATTTTATGGAAAGATGGTCATTCCCTTTTAAATTTAAAGAGCATAACTCTGTAACAAAAGTCATTCCTTCTGGTTTACTAATGCTAATGATAAATCATATGTCCTCATATAGTTCTCATAGAACTGATCCTGTACTATGGGGTAGAACTTTGTAGTAAAAAATGTACAAAGTTATTAGATTGTTATTATTTTTTTTTTAAACAGAGCCTTAAAGCCTGAAAGTTTTTTTTGAATGTCTGTTTTGATATTGTGTGGGGAAAAAGCTTGTTTGCTTCCTTTTCATTTCTGCATAATAAACATAGGCAACTACATTTAAAAATACTTCACATCATTTATGTTAGCAATTATACATTATATAATTCATGCAGACTGATGGAAATTGCTCATTCTGTTTAGATCATCCAGAGTCGTTGTTCATTTTTTTTATGACTGTCAGCATTTAAAAAAGTTTTGGGAAGACCTATCGTTGTGTCCAAAAAAAAAAAAAAAGAATCTGGTTTTAGATGTGATTTGACCCCCAAAGATGTTATATTTTATTTTGACTTAAACAATTTATCTGTGGAATTTATAATAAATCTTTTGATTTTATTTGGTAAACTTCATATTCATAAACGTAGATTCAATAACTCTAAACCTTGTTTAAAGGTTTCTATTGTAGGTTTTTATTTATATATATACTCACTCCACTATATTAATAGCAAGACATGTCAAGATACAGTTGCAAAGAAGCTAAAATTAATTAAACTTGCTGTCATTTGAGTAGGTTAATTCATGTTATCATGTAAAGGTTTCTATCTTGAAGCTGTCTTTTAATTTATTTTATGTAATTTATATTTTATGTTATTTACATTTGTATCATTTGGATGTCATGTTTAAATTGTACATTTGCTATTGTTTAAATAAATGAAAAACACTTCATTTTTTTGAGTGTATAGTAATCTCTGCATATTATGATAAAAGGTAGAGGGCATTTTAACATTAAATAAACAACTTTAGCTTTAAGCTTGGAATGAACTATGCTTCACTATAGGCCTACAAGAGGACAACAAATAAAATTAAATAATTCTGATATGTGAACCTAAACGACTCCCTTATAGATATACAGTATTTGCATATTAAAGTCTCTAAAAATGCCCCAAAAACACACGCTTCAGCTGTAAGCCTGACTCGAGTTCGCGTCTCGAGCTTCGGGTTTCAGCACTCGCGTTTCCTTCTTTGGAAAAACCAAAACAACTTAACCAGCACAGCGAACTTATTTTCAGGTAGCCCGGTGGTAGTCGTTTTTATTCACCAGAATAAGTTTTTACACGCATATCCAACCTGTTTGAGTTTAATTATCACTGACTCACCACACCCTCATGTGACCACCTGTACCGGTTTTTCCTGAAGATGTGCCGCAGGCTCATCGGCCCGAAAAGGGTAAACGACGAGAATTAAAGCAAAGCCTGAAGAGCTGCACTCACACCTGCGCGCCGACACACCTAAACGCTTCAGTTTACGCTCTCGGAAGAGAAGGTGTTGAGGTGTACGGTGTAAAGCTGTCTGGAGGCTGTAAGTGTTAAGTATTAGGTGTGTGCATCTCCAATTTTCGATACGAGACGGGGGTTTTGACCGTTGCAGCGTTTCTCAGGTAAGCAATTGTCATTGCTGAGGGGAGCCCTTTAGGTAACTGACAGCCCGTTTGAGTGACGTGTTCGAGTGTGATAATAAACACGACATAAACCCTTACGGTTTAATATTCTCTGTCTAAAAGTTCACAGGTGAGGTGTTTTTTTTAATCATTTCATGTTTTTCATTATTAAACTTGTCTGACGTCGGTTATCTGTGCGTTGCGTTTTTAAAATGGCGCGTCAAGTTTAGTGTAACGTTCATATAAAAGCAAGTTGATCTTCATATTCAATTTTTGTGGCTGTCACTAAACAAAATGGGTTGTCAAAGCCAATAAATGCATGTCAAATAGTATTATTTTCTAAGTTAGACAGTGCTTTCTAATTAGATTGGGGGGAAAAGTGAAATTTAAAATAAATAAATAAATAAATAACTTGCAAAAATAAAATCGAACCGGTATTAAAATTAATAGATAGACCAACTTAGGACTTTGAATTATAGGGATAGTTCACCCAACAACAACAACAACAAAATAGCTGCTCACTATTTACTCACCCTCAAGTGGCTTCAAATCTTTGTAAGTTTCTTTATTCTGTTGAACACTGTTAAATATATTTTTAATAAATCTAAAAACATTCACTAACCACTGACTTCCACAGTAGAAACAGGTAGGTATGGAATTCAATAATAGGTTTTCAGCATTCTTCAAAATATCTTATTTTGTATTTGGCAGAAGAATGAATCTCAAAGGTTTAACTGTAAAAAAAAAAAATGTTTCTGGTTGGTTTAAGCTGAATTAAATTAACCTTATGAGTCCATTGAACTGATATTACGTTAAACTGACTTAAAACAGCTTGTAACGTATAAAATTAAGTTAGAACATGATTAACATGATTAATTATAAAAGTTTAATAAGTTACAATGACTAAAAACATATGCTGTCGGGACTAATTGATTATATAATGTTTTACAGTGTGGAAACAAGGGTGCGAAAATGACAGAATTTTCATTTTTGGGAAAAAATATCCCTTTAAGTCTTATTGACTTTCATTTTAAATGACTAACATTTAGCCTGTTGAAATGACAATTGTGATTTGATAGATTTAATAGCCTTTTGAAAGTTTCTAAATACTTTGTATGGGCTATAAATATGCTCTATATTAGTAATATGTAATATTTGTCATTAATTTATTAAAAAAAATAATTTCCCTTGCTTAAATTAATCATTTTATTAAAGAAGTGTGTTTAATTTTTGTAAGGGTGAATGATTAGCTTTTTATACCGAATTTGTTGCATTTTACCGTGACACCCATTTTAAGTGCAAACATTCAATGTAATAATAATAATAATGCCAGGATTTTTGAAGACACACTGGGAAATTGTTGAAAAACATTAAGCAATGTTGAAATAAATTTAAGTAGATTTAGATAAGTGGTTAAAGTATAATATCTACCTAATAATAAAAATAATAATTATTATTATTATTAAAAACGAAGTTATTTTAAAGTGGAACATGTGCATGAAATTTCATACAGCCATTTTTATTCCAGATGTTGCATAATACATGTTTACCTGGACGTAAGACCTGCAGTGCACATTGCTAGGAATGGTGGCTGAGATGAAGAGCAGGATTTCAGTCATTGTTTCTAGTAGTGCGCGCTGCAGATATTCAGCTTTACTAAACTCAAATCCGCAAACCTGAGAAGAGGACAGTTGTAAAATGGATTTATATATGCATGAAATACTCACGTATGCCTCTGGATGGCAGCAGAGCTGAAGGAAAGAGTTTCTGTCACCTGTGAAGATCTGTGCTGTTTCAACATGCAATCTAGCATGCACATCTTCGGCATGTCGGTGAACCTGCCCTCGACTGGCGGTTGTTTTCATTTACAGACAGGACATTTCCTCATTCATTAGTTATTGAAGCCTTTATGAAGATGAAAACCACACCACAAATTTTGCATTTGACTATTTAAAGTGATTCATTTTACAACTTGCTTTCAGTTTCTGTTGTCTTGGGTTGGGTTGATGTGTGGGATTGTTGAAAGTGACAAATAAAGAAAATGACAAAGACAAATGCACCTGTGTGACTGAAAGCTTTCTAATGGATTTAAGTGCTTGATTATTAAATAAAACAATTAAAGTATACCCTAAACCTAATTTATTATCAATATTTTCAAGAACATGCATACAATGTAAACAATGCTGGGTTCCACACAATTTCTACATGTCGTCTTAACACAAAACAATTAAGTCAGTTCAATCATTTTGTAACAATTTAAGTTGTCATCCCAAAAACTCTAAAATTGTTTCAACTTATTTTAAATAGGAAGTTTGAACAAGCAGCAAAAGTAATTTTGTTTCAGTGTTTATTTATTTAATATCTTTCTTTATAAATATAATTATTAACTTTATGATTCAGGATGTTTAAACAATATTTGGAGACTATATTATAATAAATAGATTTAGTTAAAGGTGGCTCACGCTCTAAATAAATGTTGGATTGTCATAACCAAACATTGGTTTGTCAAATGTGGACAAACACAACATTGGGTTAGTTTTTTTTTTCCACTTAAAAGTAAAAGTAAATTACCCTTTTAATTCAACAGTTAATCCTAACTCAATTATATTAATCACAACCTAGCTTTTAAAGAGTAGCCTACAAATACTACCTGACAAATGTCTTGTCGCTATCCAAGGTTTAGGAACAATAAATAATAACTTGATTTCTAGTTGATCATTTAGTATCAGAAGTGGCTTATATGAAAGGTAAAGGCCTCTAGATTACCCTTATTTGACCAAAATAAAATATGATCATGCCTTGATTTTTGATTATTTAATTACCACAGTAGGGGCTGACTTTGCTTAGACAAAGGTCTTGTCACTTAACAGAAAGAATGCACAGTATAGCATATAAAGTCATGGTGCAGTGGAAAAATAATTTATGACTCCCATGAGCTTGGACGACTTCATTCATACATCTCTGCAATGACTCAAATAAATTATTAATAAGTCATCTTGAATGGCAAAGAAAGCATTTTTGCAGACTACCAAAGTTCATCAGGATATTTTGGATTCATCTTCAAAGCCTCCTCCTTCCTATTACTCCAGACATGCTCTATGATGTTCATGTCTGCTGACTGGGCTGGCCAATCGTGGAGCACCTTGACCTTCTGTACTTTTAGGAACTTTGATATGGAGGCTGAATTATGAGAAGGAGCGCTATCCTGCTGAAGAATTTGCCCTCTTCTGTGGTTTGTAATGTAATGGGCAGCACAAATGTCTTGATACCTTAGGCCAGGGGTCACCAATCTCGGTCCTGGAGGGCCGGTATCCCTGCAGGGTTTAGCTCCAACTTGCCTCAACACACCTGCCTGGATGTTTCCATAGATATATACACTAGATATCGCATAGGGACCCTGAGCATGCGTCAATAGCGCCGCCACATTGGTACAGTGCTCCCAGGACAAATGTCATTCAACCGCACTAGTCAAGACAGTGTTATTACGTGAAGATGCGGGACTTTAGCGCTGTCTACGGGTGTAGAAACGAGCAAACAAAGCACAAAGGCAGAACATTTTACAGGTAATATTAAGTTTTTTTCTGTTTTTGTATGTTCTGAACTTTTGCGCTAATCAGGTAACGTTATTGATGATAACAGTCAATTACTGCATTCACCATAAGGCAAAGCAGCTCCAACTCGCACTAAACACTCGGCTTATGCTAGTTTTGTTGAATAAAATAAGCAAACAATGCAAAAGAAATATGACAACGAGATGCTGCGCTGCCAGAAACTTGTATTATTGTCAGCTAACGTTAGTGAAAGTGTCGTTCTGGGGATTCATTTACAAGCGAGTCACTCCCTCCGTCAGTATGAGAAGTGAAAGCAGGAGAGGAGGTGTGTTTCAGGACACTGATTACATTAAATTTAACAGGGAGGGTGAATAGTACATTTCTGTACACACAAACACAAGCTTTTTGTCAGGAATGCCCGTGCGGTCACTGCTCCATCAATGTAGAAAAGTGATGTAAAATTATAATTTTCGTAATTAGAAAAAAAAAAAATTACATAATAACATCCAGGAAAACTCCTGATCATAGATATATGTGTATATGTGTATATCTCTGGCTTTGGATGGCCACAGTCCTTCACTGTTGGTCCCGCATTCATTTCAAAGGAGTGCTACCCTTTAGCAAGATGGGGGTGCTATTGACGCATTCCGTCCTATAGACCACAATAGGCCAGGCGACATCTAATGTATATATCTATGGGATGTTTCAAATATACCTAGCAAGACCTTGATTAGCTTGTTCAGGTGTGTTTGATTAGGGTTGGAGCTAAAATCTGAAGGACACCGGCCCTACAGGAACAAGTTTGGTGACCACTGCCTTAGGCTATTGATGTTGCCATCCACTTTGCAGATCTCTCGCACAGCCAAACAAACCATGACTTTTCCTTCACCAAACTTGACTGATTTCTGTGAGAATCTTGAGTCAATGCGGGTTCCAATAGGTCACAAATTGGTGCAGTATTTGTGATGATTCGGATGCTGCTCAACAGATCAGCATCAGAAAAATCTACCTTTCCAAAATGATCAACTAGAAGTCAAGTTACTATTTGGTGCTCTTATAACTGGGATCGACAACAAGACTTGTCAGGTAATCATTTTTTAAAAACTTCTATAAAAAATAGGTAATAGTTTTAACTCATATAAATAAACAATTTATTTAAAAAACAACAAATTTTCAGTAATTATTTATTTTTCAAACTATTTAAATACATGAAGATAATAATTTAATGTTTTAATTGTCATAAATGTTGTTGAAAAGAATAAAAAAATAAATCAGCCAAAAATGTTTTGTTGACATGCTAAATATTTTAATTTAAATATATAATTTTTTAATTAATAAAAAAATAATTTAAATAATTAATTATATATAGGCCTATTAACACACACTTCTATAATAAATTATAATATAATAAATTACTTGTAACAATAAAATAACAAATAAATAATTCAATAATTAAAGGCATGCAAAAAAAAAAACTATATATGTACAGTTAAAAAACAGAATTATTAAATCCCCTTTGAATTTTGTTTTTCTAAATAAAATAAAAATTTTCTAAATAATGTTTAACAGGGAAAGGAAATTTTCACAGTATGTCTCATATTATTTTCTTCTGGGGAAAGTCTTATTTGTTGTATTTCAGCTAGAATAAAAGCAGTTTTTAATTTTTTAAAAAACATTTTAAGGGTAAAATTATTAACCCCTTTTAAGCTTATTTCTCCCCAATAGTCTACAGAACAAACCATCTTTATACAATATCTTACCTAATTACCCTAACCTGCCTAGTTCACCTAATTAACCCAGTTAAGCCTTTAAATGTCACTTTAAGCTGTTTAGAAGTGTCTAGTAAAGATCTAGTCAAATATTATTTACTGTCATCATGGCAAATATAACATAAATCAGTTATTAGAAATGAGTTATTAAAACTATTATGTTTAGAAATGTGTTGAAAAAATCTCTCGGTTAACGGGGCTGATAATTCAGGGGGGCTTATAATTCAGATTTCTTTCGCATGACATTAATTATTGAATTATATAAAATTTTGCCTAAAAAATGAATTAAACACTTCATGAATAAACAGTAGTTGTCAGGTTCTACCCAGGGAGTTGTTATTTATTTGACAAGGTTTTACAAATACACTTGAGCGCCACAAACAGACCCTTTAAAAGTCATTTATTTGGTATTTACAGTTGGCCAGTGGAAGCTATGAGAATGTGCAAGATACAAACACTTTCGCCGGTCACAAAAACGCTTCCAGCAGCAGCTGATTGTAAAACAAACTGGCATGAACATCATCTCCGTACAATAAGAGAAAAAAAAAATCTGACGCTCCGCCACACACATACACACACACACACATCTACAACAACACATCGGGTGCTAAAAATTCAGTTTGTTTGTTACAACCTCCAGCAAAAACATTTGTAAACCAGATTCAGTTCCCCCTCTGATCACTGGTCAGTTTTACAGCAATACTATGTTTTTAAAATCCCTGAATCTTACAAATTTGGCACAAAAACCATCCAGCCAATTAGTATCAGAATCGTAACATATAATCGTCTTTTCTACAGCGCACTGATTGATACAGCACTGAGAGAGAGATATATATATATATATGCACATTCATCACTAAAACACACACACACAAACACAAAGTGATCGAAAACTGATTCAGTAATACAGATGCACAAGAAAAAATAAATTATCTAAAAATAACCAGTTAAGCACAGCAGCATCATGGCAACAGATTTCCCCTAAAAGTTTATTTCAGGCCATGCCTTTCAGAGAAATGCACAAACACAAACTTAGCATATCGTTATTGAGAGCGATTAGCACTAGCGATCCAACACTGGTCTTAATAGAGGCACTAATGCGATGTACAAAAGTAGCTGCTGCCTTTAGTTGTAACTGTACTGGATGCTACATGAAGCTCGCACAATCATATTCCCATCCAAAAGCAGAGTGGATTGTATTCCCTTTAACTCATTTTGATGGGAAGGATGGAATGTTAGCAGTAATTAAGCTGTAAGGTAACGATAAGAATAAAAAATGCCCTGATAGAGTGATGTGCTTCTGGCACTTTCCATTAATAGAGT